CTTCCTTCCTTCCTTCCTTCCTTCCTTCCTTCCTTCCTTCCTTCCTTCCTTCCTTCCTTCCCCGGTTCTTTTGAAGAACATTGCTCTGTGTACAAGGTTGTTTTGTGGTTCTATTTTCATATTTCTTTGGCTCTCTACCTATGAGTCACCTTGCTGGGTCATATTGTTACAATAGGCTTCACTTTGAGTCTGTCAGACTAGTTTTCAAAGAGACTGTGACATTTTACATTCCCACTGGCAGGGTGTGAGGGTTCTAATCTCAGTCCTTCTAGCCAACACTTGTTATCATCTGTCTTTGATTATAGCCATCCCAGTGGGTGTGAAGTGCTAGCTCATTGTGGTTTTGACTTGCATTTCCTGTTGAGCATCTTTTCAGGTACTTGCTGGCCATCTGAATACCTTCAGATAATGCCTGCTTAGATCCTTTGTCCATTGTTTAATTGGGTTATTTGTCTTTTTACTATTGAGTTGTAATTATTCTTTGTATATTCTGCACTGAAATGCTTATCAGATATATGACTGCATGCTTTGTAGAAATTTTCCTCTAATCAGTGGTATTTCTTTTCACTTTGTTAATGGTGCCCTTTGAAGCACAAAACAGTCTTCCTTTTGATCAAATCCAATTTATTTTTCTTCTGTGCCTCGTGTTTTTGGTGCTGTATCTATGAAACCCTTGCCGAATTCAAGGTCATGAAGAGAGATGCCTACATTTTCTTCTAAGAGTTTGCTAGTTTTAGCTCTCACCTTGAGGTCTTTGATCTATTTTGAGTTGAATTTGGCAGGTGATGTGACTTTGGGAGCAGGTTTTGAGGGGAGGGCCTTAGCTTTGTTGATGGCTTAGGGAGAAGGAAGGCTGCTCAAGGGTGCTGGCCTGTCCAGGTGGGTGACAGGCAAGGCTGGGCATGGGGGAGAGCAATTTTGGAGGGGAGGGAGTAAGAGGCTTGTTTTGGGCGTGTGAAATCTGGGATGAGCATGGGCTGTGAGTAGAGATGTTGAGTAGGCAGAAGGTTTGCAAGTGTGGAGTCCTGGCGTGGTGAGACAGAATGGGAGTCATCAGTGGCAGATGGGATTTATGTACATCCCCGGCGTGTTTGAGAAACCCTCAAGGGAATAATGTATCAGGAGGAGGCGGTTCTGTGACTGGCCTGAGACATACCGGCCTTCAGACATCACTCTGAGATGTGGGAGACTGAGAAGAACAGTCAGGGGGGTAGGAGAACCAGAGGGTCTCATATGGCATAAAAAAGAGGCTGAGGCGAGGGTCTGGGCATCCGCCTTGCTCTTCACTGATGCTGTGTGTTTTTAAGCAGATGTCTCCCCTCTCTGAGACTTCTTTTCCTTGTCTGTGTCAGGAGAATTTAAGGCATCTCAACTCCTAATTCTGGAGTTCCATATCTACTGGCCTCTAAATGTCCGCTCTCTATATAACTGCAAGGGGACAATGACAGGATTCAGACTAGTATATTTTGCTGTCCGTCATGGACCATTTCTTTATGTCCCTGTGCATATGTGCATGTGGGCTTTAATATCTAAAGTGAGGTTACAAAAACTTACAGGTGACAGTAATGAGGCTGGCTGACATTTATGGAGGGTTCCCCACAGGCATGAGGGAGACAGGGGTAAGCAGGCCAGGTACCAGGGCGTCTTGCACATCTGCTCCCTGCTGCCCCCTGGTGGCGGCACTGACCCACACACATTCTGTGTGCTCTTCCGTGAGCTTTCGCCTGAGTGGCTGAGTTTGGGCTGAATGCAGACATGCTAACTCCACACAGCATAGAAAGAGTGTTTCTGCCTCTTTCACTCTCCTCTTGTCTCTTTTGGTCCAGAATGGACTCGGTCAGCGGTGTCACAGATTCTTCCCAGCAATGCGATCGCCCCTGGTAAAGTCCTTTCTTGTGCTCAGGTGATGGCTCAGGTCCTGGAGCGGGAGGATGCGCCCCAGCACAGCGGGCAGCAGGTGTCCCCCATGACCTTGGGCTCTCAGAGAAGCCACAGCTTCTGCAAGGACAGGGGGAATGAACCCTTGGTGGTGAGTGAGGTGGGATGGCTGGCACGGGGCTTGCGGGACACTGGCAGGAGTGTGGCCGTGGGAGAGTCAGGTTGAGCGAGAGGCCGGAGGGGGCAAGGAGGGGCATCTCAGTCCTCGGTGTGCGGGGTGCTGGCTTGGCGGCTCTGCAAGGAGCCCTCCCCGCCTTCTCTCCTGTGTGGTGCCTGACCGGCGCAGGTCACGGGAATGGAGCAGTGACGCGAGTGTCCGGGTTCGAATCCCTGCAGCCTCTTTGAGCAGCTTACTTAATTTCACTGCATGTGTGTTTCCTCTCCTGGGAAGCAGGCTCATGATTCCCATTTCTTTTGCACTGTTGGGGGATGGCGTCCGGGTGTGTGTGGGGTCCTTCGACTGTGCCGGGGCACTCCATGGCCTCTGTGGGGAGCTGGCTAAAAGGGCCGTGGCCTGGGTTCAGGTCCCAGCTCTGCGTGAAGAAAGGCACCTGACCTCCGTTTCCTGGTCTGTAAAGTGAGGCTAATAACAGCATCCACTTCCCAGGGCTGATGTGGGCCTCGGATAAGGAAATGCGGGAAGTGTTTTGCGTGGTCGCAACAAACACTTTAATAAGTGTTATTCTTGCCCTCATCATCATCATCTTGTTTTTGAGTCTCCATCTGACTGCACTTAGTGGGGCCTTCTTGGGGTGGTGCATCCTCTCTCCCAGCCTTGAAGGAAGTTGGGGTGATGCTGTAGGACCCTGGAGGAGCTGCCTCCTTCGTCTGGGAGTCACCACGCCATTCTAGGGCTTTACCGCGTTCAATTTTCTGTGGTTCTAAGTTCTGTGAGGTGTGGAGATTTGCCAACTTTTGTCTGTACTCATAAAGTTCCCTTCCAGACCCTAGAGGGGCATATACCAGAGGCACCTCTCTAACGAGGCGACGCCAGTTCTGCTCACAAGGTCCTTCAGGTTGTGCGTCATGCTACCCATATCTGTGTCCTGGTCACATGTTGGAGAAGTGGCATCTTCCAGCAATTCCATCCTAAGCTCTTCCCTCCCAGCATTAGGGCCCAGGCAAGGCCTTTCACTTCCTCTTATGTGAAACGGGGTGAAGATGCCCGTGGCAGGTTTGGGCCTGATTGTAGGGTGGGGGGAGGGTGACGGAGCCAGGGGAAGAACTCAGCCCTCAGGGAGATGTCCCTGAGCAGACCTGGGAAGTTGCCCCAAGTGTTCAGATGTCAGCCACAGACTTGTACACGTTTGGAACCTGATTTTCCCTTTCCCTTTTCTCTGTCCCCTCTCAGGCGGCAGTGACGCAGCTTATCTGAGAGGTGGTGTTATAAAGGACTTAGCTCCGATCTGGAGCTAGGAGAAACCGCCTGAAAGGTTTTGTGCCATTGAGGAAACTGGGACCTGGCCACAGCCAGGCAGGCAGGGCTAGGATGGAACCCCCCTTTCTGACTCTTGGCCAGTGCTCCGCCCTTCTCCCCTGTTCCTTTCAGAAGTCATCTGAGGCCTTGGGTCATCACAGGCTCCCGGTCCACCTCCTCTCTCCCCATGCATGGGTGGGCGCACTCCCTTTTCCTCATAGTGACCCTTTGGCCTGCACTGGTGCAGGCATCATAAACACTGTGACTCATGTGGGCCATGACTAGGGTCACAGTGTGTCCCAGAGCACCCCCCCACCCCGCCTCCCCGCGGCCAACGTGCTGTGAAGTTTCACCAGCTGTGCCCTGCAGCGGATGGGGGTGGGGGGTGGGGAGGTCTTCTGCTAACCTTGAGAATGTCCTTCCAAATCCCCGAAACCCTGAGTCAGCATTTGCTGGCTCATTTGGTTCACTCCTGTGTGGACCTACAGGATGTCAGACCCCTGACTCAGGGGTCCCTGAGGATTGTCCCTCAGCCCTGCTTCTCCTGGGGCTCACAGTGCAGGGGGGCCTGAAGACGGCCTGGGAGGGGCAGGAAAGAGGGAAGAGGAGAGGGAGGGCACGAAGCTATCTGGGTGACCTTAGTGAAAAGCGCACTTCGGCTCAGGGCTGTTTTGGGGGGCTCAGTCTTTCTCTTGACAAATTCTGAGCTGCATGGCCTTGGTTCTTGCCAGCACTGGCTGCGGTAGTGAGCGAGATGCGGTAAACAGCAGGCAGGCAGGTAATGCTCACTGGGCACATGGATTCGGGGCTGCAAGGTGCCTTGTGCTTTCCTGCTGTCCAGAGCAAGGGGAATGCATCGTCCTTTGGGGGCATCATCTTTTGGGAAGCTCTCACAGAAAGTGCTTGTTTTGCATCTTAATGGATGAGCAGGTATTTTCCAGATGGGTATGTTGTAATCCTTTGCCCCAGGTGGAGGGAAAGGCACAAGCAAAGGTTCAGGGCATGAAAACTGTGTTCTGCACAGGAGTGCAGAGTCCAGGTGATAACCTGGGGTCTCTTTAAACTTCACTCTGACACATCCTTCCTGGACCGCTCCCTGTGTGTTTTATGCTATGCTCAGACGGTCCCTACCTCCTCACTGATGAAACAGCTGTCCTTGGGTTTGAGGAATGGCTCTCCCTCCCGGCTGCTGTTTTGTGGGAGGCTTCCACCAGACCAGGGACAGTGAAAGCTTTGGGTGCCCGTGGCATTTTGTGATGACTGGAGAACAGGAGTTCAAAAACATTTGGACCAAAGCAACGACAAATCCTTGACAACAGATTGTGGAACTGAGATTCTAAGATGGGGAGGAAAAGGGGGGAAGTGAAATGGGGCGGAGGCACAGTGGGTGACATTGGGGGCCTGAGGTGGTCTTAGTGGGGGGTGTGGAGAGGAAGTGCCTGAGAGGAAGTGTGAGAGGCACCTGAGGAAGTGCCAGTCTGCACCTCTGCATCACATAGAGCGTTGCCACTATTTAAAAAAATTGGGACTTCTAGTGACAAACTGGTAATTCTGAAATGAAAGGGACCTCCCTGCCATGGCGGGCTGGGGCTTCAAGTGAGAAGGGGAAGAATCAAAGTGAAAGATCCTAAGTGAGCTGCTGGAGATAGCTTGTCGGAGACGGTGCTTCCAGAAGCATGGCTAGTGGCTGTGCGTTCCTTCTGCTGGGAAGTGACCGCTGTGCACGGCCCGTGTGGACCCTCTATGCGCATCGTGTTGGGTTGAACGCGCATCCGGAATGCCCTTCACGGGCTTAGTTGAAAGGGCTAAGTTGCCTCTCACAGCAAGATGGAATTTGCCAGGAGGAAGGGAATCCGGTGAGGAGAATGGTGTGTGCAGAGGCATGAGAAAGTGGGATTTTCCAGGAGCTGTGAGAGGGTTACCTAGGGAGTGCTGGCGCTGAAGCGGGAGAAGGCTGACAAGGCCCAGGTGGGGAAGACCCCCCAGGGTCAGAATGAGGGGCTTGATGTTACACCTGCCAGAAAAACCAAGGGTGAGGTTCTGACCCAAATCAGAGGGTCAGCGTGCAGTGCCCTCTAGTGGACGCAGAGGAGCGGTTTCTGGAAGCAAGGAGAGCAGGAAGGGAGGAGGTGGTTCAGCAATAGTCTAGGCAAAACCTTAGGAACAAAGTGTTGCGGTTAAATATACAAAACATAAAAGATAGTGTCTTAAAGGATATTATTCATTGTCATTAAGTGCATTCACAATATTGTGCAACTACAACCAGCAATCATCTCCAGAAATTTTTCGTCTTCCCAGACAAACTTTCCAAAACCTTTCATCTTCCCAAACAAGCTCTGTACCACTATTCACTAACTCCCCACTCTGCGCCCCCACAACCACCCCACTATGTGCCCCCACCAACCTGGTATCGACTCCAGTCTACTTTCTATCTCTATGAATTTTCCTTCTCTATATAGTTCGTGTGAATGGAATCATATAATAAGTGGCCTTTTGTCCGGCTTATTCACTTAATGCATCATAGTTTGTTTCAATATTTCAGTCCTTTTTAGGGCTGAGTAATATTCCATTATATGTATGTGCCACACTTTGTTTATCCGTTCATCTGTTGGTGGATTCTTGGGTGGTTCTACCTTTTGATTATGGTGGCTCATGCTGCTAGGAGCCTTGGTATCGGTATCCCTGTGATCAGTTATTTGGGGGTGTACACTGAGGAAAGGAATTGCTAAAGCACATGGCGATTCTATATTGAACTTTCTGAAGCCCAATCAAACTTTATCACAATGGCTTCTCCATTTACATCCTCCCCAGCAGTGCACAAACATGACCTCTCCACATCCTCATCTGAGCGAAATGTTATTTTCCATTTTATTTTTCAGTGGTTGTTGCCCTAATGGATGTGAAATGGTGTCTCACTGTGCTTTCTGCTGGCTTTTCTCTAATGACTCATAATCTTGAGCCTCTTTTTCATGTGCTTGTTGGCCAGTTGCATGTCTTTGCCTGGTTTTGAATCAGGTTGGTTGTTATCCTGTAGTTGAGTTATAGGAAACTTCTATGTCTGTCCGCCTGTCTATCTGTCTGTCTATCCATCAATCCATCCTTCCATCCACCCACCCACCCATCTACCTGTCTGTCTGTCTGTCTATCTATCTATCTATCTTTTGGATAGTCACCTTATATTTGCAAATATTTTCTCCCATTCTTAGGTTGTCTTCATTCTCTTGATCATGTTCTTTGATCATGTTTCTTCATTTTCTTGATCACGTTTTCAATTTTGGTGAAATCCAGTTCATCTGTATGTTCTTTCCTTTGTTGTCTGGAAAACAATTTTTTTTAATGAGTTGTAATATTCATGAAAGAAAAAAATACATATTTTCTTTGCATAGAAGAACTGGGGTGCGGGAAAAGAGAGGATTCACCAGAGACAGAGCGGGGAGCAGAACAGGTGCATCTACTGAAACACACTGTTGAGGGGAGCAGCAGGTGAGACAGGAGAGGTCTGTTGCACCATGTAAGTCAGCTCCCTGGCCGGGGATTGAACTCAGGCCTTAGCTGTGATAGTGCTGAGTCTCAACCCCTAGGCCACCAGGGAGGCTCCCCATAAAGAAAATATTTTTAACTGACGTGTAATATGCACCTTCAGCCAGAAGCCAGGTTTGAATCTCAAATCTGCC